AATCCCAAGGAAAGGCTTTGGGAGGGGTCAGTCCCAAGGAAGGGCTCCTGAGAGGGGTCAGTGTCCAAGGAAAGGCTCCTGGGATGGGTCAGTGTCCAAGGAAAGGTTCCTGAGAGGGATCAGTGTCCAAGGAAAGGCTTTGGGAGGGGTCAGTCACTAAGGAAAGGTTCCTGGGAGGGGTCAGTGTCCAAGGAAAGGCTTTGGGAGGGGTCAGTGTCCAAGGAAAGGTTCCTGAAGGGGTCAGTGTCCAAGGAAAGGCTCCTGGAGAGATCAGTCACCAAGAAAAGCTTTCCAAGGGAAGCTGCCCTCACTTCTCTTCCTGCCGATCCTTCTTGCAGGTGCCAAACCAGCTGCTTCTGTTGACCCTTGGGCAGCACCAGCAGGATCCACAGCTCAGCCTCTGGCCAAGAATGTGGACCCTTGGGCTCCTGCTCAGCCATCTTCTACTGCAGCAAAATCTTCTGTGGATCCCTGGGGATCAGCACCTGCAAACAAACCTCTCTCTACTTCTGGTGAGCAATCCCATATCCATCTCATTTGAGTCATGAGGAGAAGTCCAAGTGGTTTTCTTGCATTGTGTGGTTCAAAGAAGCTGGACAATGGCAGAATTTATCTTCAAAATAAAAGGGACTTGTAATAACCAGCAGGAAAAAGAAATTTCAGTGTGATTATTCAGACTTGCAGCTCTGAATTTGAGGTGCTGCTTCCTGCTCTGTCCCTTCTGTGTCTCCTCATGGTATTTGTGGCTGCCTGCTGAGCACTTGGGACTGCTGCTGCTCTTGGGTTTTATCTTTAATTAGACAAGGACTTCATTTTTGGCAATGAATGATACTGTAATTTCACCTTTCCTCATGATAAATAGCTCTGCAGATGTAGATTGACAGGTTGAGCAGCTCGAGGAGACTTTTAGAGGTGCAAATGAAGGTTTGTTCCTTCAGACTGAGGGTGTGAAACCCTCCCTGAGCCCTGGCAGAGATGCAGAAGGTGCTGCTGTAATTGTTTTTCCATGCTCTGTAACTAATACAGCCTTGATGAGTGTTAATACCTGGCATTTTCATATTGGCACCGTGGCTAAAAGCATCCAAAATGCATTTTCTGCTCATCATTCATCCCACAATACAACAGACAGAGGAATCTGAGTGCTGCAAAAACTTCTCTAAGCAGCTTTTCCTGGGCAAATGGCAAAAACTGAAATGAGCCTTTAGCTGTGGTGGCTCTTTGGTCTTGATAAATATTGTTTTTATGTTCAATTTTCATCTTCTCTTGGGGTTTGTCATCTTGTGCTCTTCTTGCTTGAAATGTCCTGAAGGTTAAAAATAAACTAAGAAAACATTTCAGCTAATTAAAAATACCCCCACAAACCTTAAAGCTGTTCAGGAGTGTGATTGCTGATCACTTAGGTGTTGTTTTTGTGCCTCCAATCTGAGGTAAGAGTTGTGTCCACGTTTGGAAGTGGTGATGTTTCATTGATTGCAAGCTCTGGGTGAGTGCTGGTGCTTCAGCTAACGGGGCTTTGCCATCTCCACACCCTCTGCTCTGCATTCCTCCTCCTTTCCACTTGGGAAACAGAATTGAAATCATCACTGGTGGTGTTTTCCTTCAGGGCTGATTAACACTCGACAGTAGAGGCTGTAAATCCATTTCTGTTCTCTCCTTCCACAGCAAGATCTGCTTGTCTCTAATGCAGACACTCAATCAACCAACCCCCAGCATGCTCAGGTGTGCCCTGCACTGATCCCAAAGCAAACTGCTGTGGTGTAGTTGTTCCATGCTGGCAGAAAGGACAGATCTGTGACATTCTGCTCCTCCCAGCTCAGAGTAGGAGCACTCCCAGCTGCTGCCCTGGAGCCTGTGGTGGCTTCTTGGTAATAACAGGAATGGGTCAGGAATTGCTTCCAGGAGGATCAGCTGTGTGATGAAACCGGAGATGTGTTAATGACAGGGCTGTCTTGTTGTTTTGAACAGGAAGTACATCTTTTGACCTCTTCAGTAATTTGAATGGTACAGTTAAAGATGATTTTTCTGAATTTGACACACTTCGAACTTCCAAAAAGCCAGGTACGAATCAAGTTCTTAGCATGTGGACAGGTTGGGTGACAGTCATGGCAACAAATGTCTCTGTTCTTAAATTTTATTGAACAAAAAATCAGTTTTACAAAGGAAGTGATGATGCAGCAGTAAAAGCTCCTTGTTCCCATTTTGGCCTGTGCATGAACTCGTGGGGAATGGGCCTTTTGTAATCCATGGAATTGCACTGTGTGACCTTCTGCTGCATTGACCCAGAAATTTGTTGGACTTCCTAATTTCCAGTGTCCAGCATGTTTGGAGCAGGGCTTATGCTCAGAGACTCAACCAGAACCATACTGACTGAATCTCTCAAATGTGTAAATTCCACTAGGAAGATAACAAAATACCTTCTATGAATATTCTTATTTTTTTATTGTGGTCAATGATCAGTAAATCAAAACTGCCAGACCCTGTCAGTGCTGTGGTGCCATTGCTCTCAGGATGGTTCTGCCTGAAGCACAGCTGGGCTTTTGGAGGAGAAAACCCTGGGGGAATCCAGCTAGGAAGGGCACAGCAGTGGTGTAGGGCCAAGGCTTTGGAGTTTGTGTTCCTTGGAGCCTGAGTCCCACCTGGAGCAGCAGAGCTGTGGGAATTCCAGCAGGAGAGCACTGCAACTCTGACTGTGGCTTCTTCATGCTCTGCTAGAGGACATTGACCTGCTTGCATGCTGAGAGGGTGTAGCAGCCTGGAGCACTGAGCCCTGACTAACACTGCCTTAGCATGGAGCATCTCTGCTCTCTCCCCCTGCAGCCTGCTCTCTGCCTGCCTCTGGGCACTAACCTGGAGTTGTGTTTGTCCCTTTGTGTTGTTGCAGCTGAATCAGGTTCCACTCTGCCCTCTCAGCACAGTGGCACCACGAGTCCTGATCTCTTTGAGTCCCAGCACTCGAGTGGGACATCAGGCAAGCAGAGCACGGCCCGCAAAACCCCGGAGTCCTTCCTGGGCCCCAACGCTGCCCTGGTCAACCTGGACTCCCTGGTGTCCAAGCCACCACAACCTGTTACTTCTCTGAACCCATTCTTGGCACCAGGTTGGTTTCTGCACACTCCTTCATGTTTGTGTTTGAGCTTTCCCTTCCTGCAGGGCAATTCTGCCCAGCTGGGTGCTGCTGGGGTTAAAGATGGGTGCTCTGGGCTTGGTTTTGTTGGATACTTGAGCAAACAGATGGTGACCAAGAGCAGGAATGTCTCAGAGAGGCATCCTGGGCTCACCCAGCACAGTGACAGTCCCTGAAAACACAAAGTCTCTGCTCTTGGTCTGAACTTCTTTCCAGCAGTTCCCCTCACTCAGAATTGTCTGTGTTAGAAAGTTTGGGGTTGTTAAAAATGGCTGAACTTCAGCTGGATTTTGTCAAAACAGGTAAGGTTGCCTTGGGAAGGTAACAGGTGGGAGTTTGCTGTGGAAGAAGGTTGGAGTTGCCCTTTCCCTGGAGCTGCAGCAGCCACAGGAGATCTCTGACTGAATTACTCACTGAGTAATTCAGTGAGCTGCTGGTTAGTCTGTGTTAGGCTGCCACAGTGAGCCAGTTCTGATCTGAAAACACATTCTCAGTGTATTTTGGAAGAAAAATTGCCTGTTGCACTTCTCCTGTGAGCTGGGCCTGTTAGAAGTGATCCCTTGCTTGGAGCAGACTGAAATGATGACACCAAACATGTGGCACATGTATTTTTTAAAAGCTGAATTTGCACTGATGTTTTCCTGTGTTGTTCTTAGGGTGAAACTTAGGAAATGCTCTTTCAGTATTTATTTTCATCACTCTTCCAATGGAAGAAAAAGTCAATTTATTAAAATCCCTGAGTAGGAAAAAAAGCAGTGATTCTGAGCAGCCTTGGCAGCGAGCAGGGAGAGAGGAAATCTGTGTATCTGCCCTTCCCGGGTACTACAAAAAGTTTGTGAGGGGTCACTGGGCCATCCAAATAATCCTGGGTTTGTACACTAAAAGGAATTTGCAAGGCTGGCAGCAGTCCAGGGAACCTCAGAGGCTGGGAAAGTTGTGCTCTGCTTTTTCGAGCACCGCTGCAATTCGGAAACAAGTTGTTTACTTTGGGAATTCTTGTCCCAGCTCGGTGCCAGAAACACAAAAATGGAGGTGGCTGCTGGGAGCTTGGAGCAAGCACACAAATCACAGAACCCCACGATGGTTGGGAAGGGACCTTAAAAGCAACCCTGCCATGGCAGGGACACCTTTCACTGTCCCAGGCTGCTCCAAGCCCTGTCCGAGCTGGCTTTGGATCCAGGGCAGCCACAGCTGCTCTGGGGATCTGTGCCAGGGCCTGCCCACCCTCACAGGGAAGGATTTCTTCCCAATGCCTGATGTGACCTCACTCTCTGCAGTAAAGGAGCATATAAAGCATTAAATGAGTGATGTGGGTGTCGTGGTTAGGGCTTTTGCAGAGAACCAGATTTGGAGCCTGGGACTGCAGTCAGGGCTGTCCGAGGTGGGAGCTGAGGGGTGCTGGAGGCACTGGCTGCTTCCAGGGAGCACACTGGGGATCAGATGCTGCACAGGGTGTTCTGGGCATGGGGATGCACACAGGGAGCGTTGTTTGCCAGGACAGACGAGTGCAGCCCCTGGTGCTATCGATGGCAGTGCCTCACTGTCCCCTCTCTCCCCGCAGGCGCCGCCACGGCAGCGACTCCAATCAACCCCTTCCAGGTGAACCAGCCTCAGCCTCTGACCCTGAACCAGATGCGAGCGAGCCCCGTGATGGGCAGCAGCCCCTCGTTCAGCACCGTGCCCCCTCTGAGCATGGAGCCAATACCTCTGTCTTCCATGGCCCCCGTGCCCGTGGGCATGGCCCCGCTGCCGGCCATGGGCACCATGCGCATGGGCCAGGGGCTGAGCATTGCAGGATCAATGCCCCAAGCTCTGCACAGTACAGGAATGCCGCCAGCAGCCTCCCAGGCTGCAAATACAACTAACCCTTTCCTCCTATAAAGACCCAATTAAAGGAACTTTTCTTTTCTTAGTGTTTCCAGGCTGAAGTCTTTCCAGCGAAACGAACGTGGCCTGTGTGGACTGAACGGTGTGTGAGAGACTTGGAAGTAGATTTGCAGTTTACAGTTATGATCTTTGAAGAGTTGTCTCTACTTACCAGTTAATCTAAATCTAGTCTTTGCTACAGATGGTACCTTACTTTGGCTTGTTGAGCATCATGTGAAATGTTCAGACTTTTCACCAAAGTTAGATTCTGCCCATTTTTGTTACTTTGTTAATCATTTCAAACACACTTTCTAGGGAGAGAGAGAACCTGCCACCGGAAAACTCCCTTGGCTGTTTTGTAGATGTCAGATCATGTGCTGGATTCCTGAAGTTACTCTTGCCCTGCATCTGTCACTTCCTCTGCCCGTCAGGTAGACCTGAGATTCCGAGTGCTAGTGAATGTTTTGCACATAACTACACACAGTTCTAGACTGTTGGTTCACCCATAGTCCTTACTCTTAGAAGAGACCGACCCGGAGGGCCCAGGGGGGCTTGGTTTTTATGCATTAAACATTGCAAACTCGCACTGCTTTGGTATCTCTGAGGTGTGACTGACAACAGCAAGCTTGTCTCGAAAGGAAAAATAACACAAAACCCCAGACAAAACACCCAAGACCATGCTCGAGTTGTGCTGTCGTGTGCAGTGTTGAATTCCTACACTACTCTAAGGACTCCTGGAACTCTCTGTGAGTGGCTGCACTCGTGCTGAGTGAGTGTCCTGCTCTGTGCTTGTCCAGTACCAGCTTCGTTTGGAAGTTTTTTCATGTGTATTTTGTTTTTATTTGACTTACAATGTGAGTTGAAAGAAAAAAAAATGGAAAAAACAAAGAAAAGCAAAAAAAAAAACCAACAAAAAAAAAGGAGATACAGTGGGACAACTTTGAATTCAGTTTCACCGGGGCAAGCTTTAAAACTAATTCAGGCTTAACCTTGCTATATGCAGTTACTCTTGTATACTTTTGCACATATTTTGTTTAGTACAGTTTCATATTTTGAGTTTGCAGAGTTACCTAATAGTCCTTTTTTTGCTAATTTTTATAATGTGGTTCTTATTTAACTGTCTGGTTTTGATAGATTTTATCAAGTCTGGCTGAAAAATTAAGATATTGGCAAATGTCATTTTTATGGTTTTAATGCCCTCTTATTTATGGTTTTCGCTCTTTGTTTCTGTAAAGAGAGTTTAAAAGGGAAGATTAACACTAAAATATTTACTTTTAAATGAAGTATTCATAATGCAAATCAAAAAACAAATCCTCGTGACTAATTATTTTTAGATGAATTGAATTTGAGCATAACATGATTTAAGACTACATTAAAAAGAAAAAACACTAAAGTCGCCTTTCCCTTGATTTGTTCCCATTTCCCAATCCCCAGACTGGACAGACTTTTAGCCTTGATGAAGATCCCAGGAGAGGCTGTTTGGTTTTATTTTCCTTGTAAAACTTGTGGAGCTGTTTAAAACCCTGATGTACAAACAGAACTTGTTTGGTTTTATGCCCTGATTTTTCCTGTTGGAAGGTGCACTCTGTTGGATGGCTGCTTCCAAGGGAGTTATCCCTTTTAGATGAATTCTCATGTCTGGACTCCTCACCACGCTCAGGGGTTCTGCTGGAGCTCCAGCCTCTCCCAAAAATCCATGGAAAGGGAATTTTCCAATTTTCCTGCCTGCAGGGCACCTCTGAACAGACTTGGTGGCCTTTCCTTAATTTAAGAGGGGGAAAAGAGAATTTCCTAGAGTTGTGTTGAGGTGGAACAATTCCCTGTGGGGCTGGAGAGGGGCTGGATCCCATGGAAGGAGAGGATCCCATTAAGGAGAGGATTCCATTAAGGAGAGGATCCCATGGAAGGAGAGGATCCCATTAAGGAGAGGATTCCATGGAAGGAGAGGATTCCATGGAAGGAGGGGATCCCATGGAAGGAGGGGTTTCCATGGAAGGAGAGGATTCCATGGAAGGAGAGGATTCCATGGAAGGAGAGGATTCCATTAAGGAGAGGTTCCCAAGGAAGGAGGGGATTCCATGGAAGGAGAGGATTCCATTAAGGAGGGGATCCCAAGGAAGGAGAGGATCCCATTAAGGAGAGCATTCCATGGAAGGAGTGGATCCCATTAAGGAGAGGATCCCATTAAGGAGAGGATTCCATGGAAGGAGAGGATCCCATTAAGGAGAGGAT